GTTAGTGTGTTGGTGGCCAGGTGGCTCCTTGCGCCCAGTGCTGCAGCAGGGCCTCTAGGCTCTCTCCCTGTTCACCTTGGAAGATGATGGAGACTGTTTCCTTTTATCTAGTCCCCCCCCCCCCACTGAGTAAATAATGTTGCTGCCTACTTGTGCGGCGATGCGAGAGAGTGCAAGGCTGATAGGAGGGTGGATGGACTCTCGGATCCTGCCCAAGGAACAAAAGTGATTATGAATGAGCAAGGAAGGGAGGGACGGCCAGAGGAATGGAGCACCCTCCACGCGACAGCTCCGCTGGCCAGGAAGAAGAAAGACAAGGAGAGTTAGGGAGTTGGGGCAGTGATATACAGTGGTACATCGGGTTAAGAACTTAATTCATTCCAGAGGTCCGTTCTTAACCTGAGGTACCACTTTAGCTAATGGGGCCTCCTGCTGTCGCTGCACGATTTCTGTTCTCATCCTGAAGCAAAGTTCTTAACCCGAGGTACTATTTCTGGTTTAGTGGAGTCTGTAACCTAAAGCGTCTGTAACCCGAGGTACCACTGCACTTGGAGTGGTGGTGCAAGCTGTTTCCCACACTCTCCAGTTCTCTTTGTGCTGTTTTGTCTCCATTTCCTGGTTCAAATCATTTATTTACATATTTCACAGTGACACGTGTAAATGTGATCATGCATGAGTGGAATGCATGTAAATGGGGGGACACTGTCTGTAGTTCTAAAGTTTACAGAAGAAATCTGCTATTATACAGCTAACAATAGTTTGTGACCAATTTCTCTACTCATTTTCAACAAACAAAGGAAACTCTGTTCTTGGCTAAAAGAAATTACTCTGGCTGTTCTGCTGTTGCTCTTTGGTAATTTTTCAGTCTTTGAAAGGCAGAAAAAACACACCAGATATAGTGTTTACTTCCTCTCAGATTCACTTCCCGATTCAGAAGTAATCCCCTAGGGTATGAGGGGGAATGTTAGGGGAATTCAAAAAAGGAAAAAAGGGAACTCTACGCACAGTGATCTACTTATTTTTTTGCACTGCTTTTTGCTTGATAGGAATTTTGTACAACCATAACCCTCTAAACCAAATGTGGCCCACACAGTATGTATGGCACCTTTCCAGAAACTCAATAAACCTGATGTAGCTGCCTGCTAGGGTCTACAGAAATGGGAAGTCTAGATATTTAGAATGTTGTGTAGGGTGGACTTATAGCCCATAAAACTACTCTGGGTAGTTTTATGCAATGTATTGTTTTGCCTATGCTCCGAACCTGATTGAACACCATATTTGAAGTTGGGAGGCAGTTTGTCTCAGTTAACCCAGTTACTGTGTGTTCTCCTGTATGTACACACCCTCCCTCCCATAACATGCGGTTTCTTTATTTCATTTGCAGCCATCTGCAACATCTTGCTTACCCCTGTTTCCTACTTGCAGGACTTCATTTTTCAATGAGAAATGTTGTAAAAATAATTTTGCATGAAGAAGGCAATGGGCAACTTCCTTGCCCTTTCAGTATCTCTGATTTCCTGCTTGGCGGAACACAGGCTGTCTGCTTATGACAGCATTTTTTTCCTCTGGTTCATTATGGGATATTTGGAGTTAGATTAACAACCGTCAGTGAACTTCAGTTCAGACTAGTACTCTCTATCAAGGGTTTTCATCTCCCCAATTTCCTGTGGCCACGCGCCCACACACACAGAGACATACAAAAAGAAATGGCTAATAATAAGGTAAATACCCCAAGACAAGATCCCTTCTTGATCATCCCCACCTTCCAGGTGGTGAGCCTTTGCACAAAGGAATGGCTCTCAATGGCACTCTCATACTTTCCTCCCCTCCCCTCCTCCTGTGGACACCACAGCACTGTGGCTGTTTGTACGTCTTCCATGCCCTCATCTAGCTGCTGCTCTCTTCCTAGGGATCTTGGCCCACAAGAAACTTAAGAATAAATTTTCCCCAGGAGCACAATCAGTTGCATCTGTGAAAGGCACACATAGGGAAACCATTCTGCATAATGATCAGTGCACTGTGGTGTGCATGTGGCCAAGACAGGGAGAGAGGAAAAATGCTGATTTCTTCTTGTACACATGATAAACTTACTTCCCTGCCCTAGAGTAATCTCTCTCTAGTAGAAAATTAGGGCCATACTACATGCTAAGCCTGGAAATCTGTGATTTTTTCCTGCTTTTTCTTCATTAAATGCACACCAGCGAGAGGATAATCATTTGTCCAGGGAAGCACAGAGAACCTGGAGGCATTTAACTCTACAATTTTCCTGATCTAAAATTACACGCATATTCCAGATACTGTTTCCTCTATGGGGAAAAACCTAAGGCAAATACAAATGGCTGATTGAAATGCTTATTACCATCTGTTTATAACAGCAAAACTACATGCCACTCTGGGAAATCTGTGATTGATATGATGATAAAAAAGCCCAATCCTTTAATGCAGCTTCCAGGAGAGGTACTTCCAATTTGATTGGGAAAATTGTGCTTAGGCTGATGGTATTTAACCCTCCCATCTGTGTCTCTTAGAGAAGGAAATGTATTGTCTCTGAGAAAAGGAGCCTGTATCATGTCTGTATTCTTGTCCCACAATAAATCCCCACCTTGAAGGGGCTGTATGTAAATTAAATCCAGGACTATTTATTTCTAGATTCCTAGAATCCTATCAAGCTTGAACTCCATACAGGCTATATGAAATTACTTCATACCAGTATAGGAGGGACGCAGGTGGCGCTGTGGTCTAAACCACAGAGCCTAGGGCTTGCCAATCGGAAGGTTGGCGGTTCGAATCCCTGTGAAAGGGTGAGCTCCCGTTGCTCAATCCCAGCTCCTGTCCATCTAGCAGTTTGAAAGCACGTCAAAGTGCAAGTAGATAAATAGGTACCGCTCCGGCAGAAAGGTAAATGGCATTTCTGTGCGCTGCTCTGGTTCGCCAGAAGTGGCTTAGTCATGCTGGCCACATGACACGGAAGCTGTCTGTGGATGAACGCCGGCTCCCTCGGCCTATAGAGCGAGATGAATTCCACAACCCCAGAGTCTTCCATGACTGGACCAACAATCAGGGGTACCTTTACCTTTAGTATAGGGATGTGGGGAGAAATAAGATTTTGCTTGCCTTTTAGTAAGCTACCTAATTCACACTTATGTTAAACCAATATGTGAACCAAAAACACAGCTAGCTATCCTTTGAAATCAGCTCTTCTCATTTCTCCAATCAATGTACACGAAAACACATACATTGTGAACATAATATAAAAACATTTGCAAATTGCTGCAGAAGTATGCAGAAGTATGGAGAACTGAATTTATGATAGGGAAAAAATGAGGAAAAGAGAAACTGAAATTGACATGTCTGTCCCTATACCAGTCACAACGTCAGGATGATATTAAGCACAGATTTGTGCATGACAATAGCTCCTTCACTTGCTGCTAAATCTCACAGAAACTAGATCCCTGTCCTTTGTACACAGTCCTAGTAAATAGCAGCTTTTAACAGCCACGGGGCATATCAGATTCCAAACTTGAGACATTTATTTTAGTATCTTATTTCTTGGTTTTCCATTTACCTAATATTTATGTGGTTTTCCACTTGCCAATTGTTTTCCATTTATCTATTGTTTTATGACAACTGTTAAAAGGTTATTAAAAGATAGAGAGTCTAAGAGGGAAAGCATGTGAAATGAAAACTTTCTCTGCAAAACTGGCATGTCATTTGTTGAGGGTGTTTCAGAGAATGGCTACTTAAACCCATGTAAGGAAATCCCAATAAATATTTCTTTGTGCAGGGGTAGCCAACACGGTGTTCTCCAGGTGCTGTTGGAGTACAAATGCCATTGTTCTTGACTATTCACAGGGCTGACTGGAGTTGTAGTGCAACCATGGAGGGCGCTATGTTGCCTATCCCTGGCTTAGTAGAAAGGTAGAGTAGTGCACCTGATTTAGAAATGCATAGTGAAGCAAAGTGAAGTGGACAGCTTGCTATGAGAGTTGGTTTCCAACTCTGATTGCGTACTCAGGTAATTTCAACAAAATTAGGGGAAAAATGCTTCATTGGGGAGCACTGATCCTACTTTCCTTTAAAATGCCAGTCCTCTTTTTCAAAATACAGTGCAATCGTAACCGTCTCTAAGTGCTACTGAATTCAATGGGGCTTATTCCCAGATAAGTGGGGGTTAGGACAATTATTTATATTTCCAGGGGCTCTTCATACATTCCATTTTTGGAGGTGTATATAAAGATGTACAGAAAAAACTGCTTATGGCAACAAGAATGCATTTGCAAACACATATATCATATAATGACACTCATCATAGAACAGTGATGGGCTGTACACTACTCATTTCCCTCTTGAAAGCACACTCACCAGAGTTTGTTTTTGTGTGTTGTGCGCAAATGGCTTGTAGTCACCAGAGTATACCAACATCATTCTGTTCATAACACCACAACATACCTGACACAGAGTCCTTTTAGTGATGGTGCCTATGATTTGGAACAGGCTTCCTCAACCTCGGCCCTCCAGATGTTTTTGGCCTACAACTCCCATAATCCCTAGCTAGCAGGACCAGTGGTCAGGGGTGCTGGGAATTGTAGTCTCAAAACATCTGGAGGGCCGAGGTTGAGGAAGCCTGATTTGGAATATTCTGCCTGTCAGGCTTGAATTTGTTTATTTTTATGCAATTAAATATAGTGCTACCTCGGTTTTCGAGCGTCTTGGAAGCCAAATGTTTTGGAAGCCGAATGCCAAAAGCCCAGAAGTAGATGCTTCCATTTTCGAACATGCCTCTGAAGTCAAATGGCTTCCGCTGCGTGTTTTTCAATTTTCTCCATTGAACTTGCAGCCAGCCCTTTGCGCCTCGGTTTTTGAATGTTTCAGAAGTCAAACGGTCTTCCGGAACGGATTATGTTCGAGAACCGAGGTACTACTGTATGTTATTTGCAATCTGCTCAATGTGTTCTTGCTTATCAAAGTGGCTTAAAAGTTTAAATATTATTCAAGCTTACCAAGTGTTCGGAAAGGTCTTTGATCTGGTGGCTGAGAGAAGAAACCTGGTTTGAGGGCGTTTGTGATTATAATGTCAAAAAGGTCTTCAAAATCATTCCTATGACAATGATAAAAAACAAAACAATAAAAATGCATTTTAAGGTATTAAATAGATATTTGCCCTAGTATAAAGAAGCTCAACTAATTAAGACATGCCCACACCTGAATTTGGGGTGGATTTTGTTGTTGTTAGGGTTTCATAATTATTTGTTTAGGAATAATTTCTGTTTTCCTATATGCATGAGAATATCATTTACATAAGAAATTTATGAAATACACCTTCATTGCAACACTAGATCGTGTTTGCCATACTCCTGAAAAAAATCCCCATGAGTTTTGATTGCTAATCAAATGTGAAGGTAATATAAGAACAAGCAGACAAATGAGTTTTACAAGCATCAGAAATGACTAAAGTTCTTATTCTGACTAAAAATAAATAATTTAATCCCTAAAATTAACTCCATATGTGAAATGCTTATGATATATAATACTTTTAGACAGGTAATCAAATCTGAAAAATATTGAGTGCTGAAGTAGGCAAATACTTGACAATACATTTTAATAATATGAGATATAAGCAAATGGTAGCATTTATATACCTTGGGCACAATCCAGGGAAAGTTATAGTTATACTCACTTAAACCCCACACTGAAATCAAAAGCAGTTATGCACTTTATTTAAACTGAACATACATCTCTCTCTTAGATTTTATGGATTGCATTCAACAGCTAAACTCCAGTGTAGAGTCCTATTATTCCTTAGGTCCTATTATTAAGGAAGAAACGTTGACACACACACAAAACTTTACAGGGTCATATTCTTTACAGAGATATGCAAAATATCCTGTACAAGGGTCAACAAATTAGACTTTCATTCCAACAACACTGGAAATATGGTTTAAAACAGAGAGATGTGTTTGTTGGCTAAGGGAAAGTATGTCTAAACTAACTGCAAAAAGTGCAGCAATGTCCTTGTTCTGAGGTTCAACTTGGTGTCTGTTCTATTTTCTAGATTTGTTCATGGTCAGCATGACAATGTAGCACAATCTTATTATGATATATAATATTTATAATCAGATAATTAGTATGCACATAGGTCAGGACGATATCTGACACCATGACCCTGTTCATTCCCCCACATACAGTATATGCACAATGAATGTCTGCAGAGGACTGAAGAAAGGAAGCATCTGGAAAAGATTTAAGGACTACAGTATTCTGAGTGCAAAAATTCAAAACTAGAGGAGAAAAGAAATAAGTTCTGTGCGAATCCATTTACTGTATTAAAAGGAAAAGCAAGGAAAATGCTGACTTTCCCCCGCCCTTCACCTTTCCAGTTTAATATTTTCCAGTTGAATCTACTCATGAATTTAGTTGGAAGTTGCAATGGAAGCTAGCAAACCAGTTCAACACATCTAGATTTAGCACGCTGCTGTTCACTTAGGCTGCAATCTCCTGCCCACTACTCAGTGTACAACTAATTGGATTAAATTGTGCTTACTTGCATATAGGACTGGGTTATAAAGCCATATGCTTATTTGTTTAATATAAATAAAATACATGAATAGCTGATGGTATCAAAAGCCACTGGAATGTCCAAAATAATCAACAGGGCTGCTCTCCTGTGTCCTTTCCTGGAGAAGGTGGTTTGCCAGGATGGCTATGGCAATTCCAATCCCAAAAGCAAGCTGAAGTTTGGAGTGGGCTGGCTCCAAATAATCAGCCTGGAGCTGGAGCACCACTTCCCCTTCACAAGAATGGCTACTTTGACACCGGACAATAATTATTCAATATGCTGGATCCAGATTAGTTTCTTTAAAAGGGGTTGAAAAACTGCCTCTCCTTTAGGGTGGCTGGAACCACACCTTCCCTCAGTATGGCACCAAGCACCATGGAGATCCAGATTGATAATCCAGAACTGGCTGCTTTTGATAGTCAGGAAGGAAAAGGAATCCAAGGGAAGCTAAGAAGTCACCCACCTCATCCCAAACTACATCTGTCAGACACTAGAAATTGGCTAAAATAAATGTTGGTGTATCTGTATATTTTCCTCTGTGTGAAGAAAAACACCAGATTTTGAACAACAGCAACAACATCATAAATGGCCTATGGGGAATGGGTGAAATTTCTCCCTCTTCCTCCACTCCATGGCACTTATGGCTGCATTTCAGCAAATAAAATAAAAACAGATAGTGGGAGGTTGCTCCTCTATCTCCTCCATCTCAATAATTTTGGCCATCATTAAGAGTGCAATGGGTGAACTGGCCCCCTATGATTTTTAGTCACAATTTAAGATACAAATGTAAAGGTAAAAGGTAAAGGTAAAGGTACCCCTGCCCGTACGGGCCAGTCTTGACAGACTCTAGGGTTGTGCGCCCATCTCATTCAAGAGGCCGGGGGCCAGCGCTGTCCGCAGACACTTCCGGGTCACGTGGCCAGCGTGACATCGCTGCTCTGGCGAGCCAGAGCCGCACACGGAAACGCCGTTTACCTTCCCGCTAGTAAGCGGTCCCTATTTATCTACTTGCACCCGGAGGTGCTTTCGAACTGCTAGGTTGGCAGGCGCTGGGACCGAGCAACGGGAGCGCACCCCGCCGCGGGGATTCGAACCGTCGACCTTTCGATCGGCAAGCCCTAGGCGCTGAGGCTTTTACCCGCAGCTCCACCCGCGTCCCTAAGTTACAAATGTACTCAGCATTAAATCATCAGGCACCCATTTCTTACTTTTTTCTTTCCTTTTTTCCCTGCTAACTGCAAGATAAAGTCTAAATGAAAACAACAATGATGGAAGCATTCTACTTACCCTAAGGTGTGTTCACATAAAAGCCTGCAGTAGTCACTGTGAGAACTGGTAATCAATAGCAGAATCTTTCCACTGTCCTTGAGTCTTCTCAGCCACTTTTTAACAGGATCAGGACAACATTGTATGTATTTTCCTGGATTGCGTTTTACTTCTGGAAAGTATGTCCCCCCATTTTCTGAAAAGTAGAAGATAAGGTTATGCAGCGTATTGAACACCCATGTGTCATCTGTGTACCCACTTGCACACAGTTTTTAAGACCCTGCTCAACAGCTCTTCTCTGCCCCCACAACTGCTTTGAAAAAATAAGTTATGCGATTCCATCAGGGCAGATGATAAGAGGGAGGTGTACAAATTTATTGCTGGGCACATGGAATCCCATATTTAAGCACTCATGTAGATTTTGATCTATGAAAAGAAATGTTATGCAATAAGGAGGAAAGAGAAATATCAAAGTATGGTTTACTTTGGTAATAATAACTTTACCACCAGACAGAAAAACTATTATATCTAAACATGCTGGATCTTCAAGAACGCATTCATAATGCCATCAAAATTCTTAGCAGATTTCCACATTTCTTAGAAAATTACATTAGGTACATACTTCAAGGCACCTCAATTACAGTGGTACATATGCTTCAGGTTACATACGTTTCAGGTTACAGACTCCGCTAACCCAGAATAGTACCTTGGGTTAAGAACTTTGCTTCAGGGTGAGAACAGAAATTGTGTGGCGGCAGCAGGAGGCCCCATTAGCTAAAGTGGTGCTTCAGGTTAAGAACAGTTTCAGGTTATGAACAGTCCTCCGGAAGGAATTAAGTACTTAACCTGAGGTACCACTGTACTGAGAAAATGTGCAATGCAATGCAATGCTTCTTCATAACAGAAACTCTGACTGTGTCACAAATTATTGCCACAGCCCCACAAAGCTGAACAGCATAACTACTACCCACCATGACACATACAGAATTAACAAAGGGAACCATTGCCTACCTCTTCCTCGAAAGAGAGAACACCAAGTGTATTCGCTGTGGTTAAGGTAGTTCTGTAGCAGTCTTCCCTGACCTGGTAACCTTCCAGATATTATGGACTACAACTCCCAACATCCCTAACCATTGGCTACGCTGGCTGGGAAAGATGGGAATTGGAATCCAGCAGCATCTGGGGGGGGGGCACCATGTTGAAAGAGACTGTTCCACACCACCAGAAAGCTGAACCACTGTTCCACACCACCAGAAAGCTGAACCACTAATTGCCAGAGAAATCTGAAATTGGGAATGTTTACACACTTAAAAGCCAAAATTGGGAAACGAACTTCAGGCTGCAACAGAAGCCAGCACTTCAGCACACAGGAAGCAAAACCACAAGCAGGGTGGAATGTTGGACTGTGGGAGTTCCATTGGCCCCATTATATACTTGCATCAGACTCTGGCAAAATTCCCAGTGGCTGCCAGGCACATGCACCTCTGCTAATAGCATGCAAGCTGGATTTGGTAACATTTCTATATCATTTCCCTCTCTTGCTCAATACCGTTGGTCAGCTTCACTGAATGGTTTAATGAATCCTAGACATTACTTCTCCTTGTGGAATGTGCACAGTGCCTTCCTCAGATCAAAACGCAAACAAAAATTTAAACCCCTTGGCCTTCAGCTATTTCATGAGGAGGAGCAGGGTATATTTGAAATGGCAATATCTGTAGTGAATGAAATAGTCTCAGCAGTTGGTTCAAATTCAGTTGCTACAAAAGAGGACTTGGAAGGGAGCCAGTGTATAACCACTGATTTCAATAGGATAAAACAGCTTAAACTCAAAGTGCTCCAGGTTTTCACCAGCTTAAGGATCCAGCTTCCAAAGCAATAAGTAGAATATGTTATAAATGCTGCACAGCAAATGGTTTTCTATAACAACTGCAATGAAAGGGGGGTAGCATTGTGATATTGTAGCATACAGGAATAGATGTCTATACGCAAAGGTAAATCATTCTAGTTTAAACAAGAGTAGTTTCTGTTAAGTTGGTACAGTCATACCTTGGAAGTCAAATGGAATCCATTCCGGATGTCCATTCGACTTCCAAAACATTTGGAAACCAAAGCGTGGCTTCTGATTGGCTGAAGTAAGCTCCTGCAGCCAATTGGAAGCTGTGGAAGCCCTGTCAGACATTTAGCTTCCAAAAATAGTTCGCAACCTGGAACAGTCACTACTGGGTATGTGGTGTTCGGGAGCTAAAACGTTTGAGAACTAAGCTGTTTAAAACCAAGGTATGACTATATATGATAAAATAGAAAATTAGCAGGTCTTGGACACGAGCAAAGTCCTTTGGGCTTGTCCTTTCTGTAGAGTTTGAAAACTTTCTTGTTAATAAATTATTGAGATGGAGTGTGTGTGTGTGTGTGTGTGTGTGTGTGTGAGAGAGAGAGAGAGAGAGAGAGAGAGAGATTATAAAAATAGCAATGAAATGGTAAATATGCATCTGGACTGTACCACACCAGATTGTGAAGACATTCACAATTCCCATCTCACATAGAAAAATTGATGTCATGCATAAATGTCCTAGCCATACTTGTCTAGTCTTCTCCCTGACATGACATTTTTCTGAGTGTAAAAAATATTTTTTTTCTGTAAGGGGTATAAGCTTTCATCAGTCAACCCCCCCCCTCCTGCAGTTTGAAATGGAGAGACACAGGCTTTCCACTTCATCTATAATTTGAGAGAACTATGGTAATCCTGTGTAACCCTCATTGTTTCTGCTACTACAGAAAGCATAATACACTGTTATCTGGGAATGCGATTACACTGGAGCAATCTGTGTTATAAATCTCTCCAAGGTTTATTTTGAGAAACTGCCAGAATCTATATTTACCAGAGAATGCCCCTATGGTTTTTAACTCCTCTTAGGATCAACATATTTGGGTTTGGGGTTTGTTTTTTCCAGCAGACTCAGAAGATGAAGTAACACAGTTTTGCTGAGACTGTATTTTTTCATCTTTCCTTAATTGCTCTTCTTAAAACTCAATGCACTAAAGCCTAGAAAATGAACATAGGCATACAATAATGATTCTATTGTTCCAGCTAAGCAGGCTTGGCCTGGCAAACTGCTCGGAACCCTACTCTGATCTCTTCATAGAAACAGTGGGGTATAAGTGTGCAATAAATACAGTAAAAATAAAAAGAGAGAGCAAACAAGCAGTGATTTGTAAATGAGAAGGCTAAGCTGATGTGGGTAATTAGTTGCATGTGCCCTGGCTGGCAGCAGAATCTGGTCTGAGCACTGAGTTTGCCTTGCAGATCACTTCCTCATAAACTTCAAGTGATTAAACTGCTTTGTGTGTGAAAGGGAAAAAAGAAGCTGTCTTCTTCAGAGAAAGACCCACTCATTCAGGACTTCCACATGCACACTTGAAGGTTTCAGTCTGTGAAGTGATTTATTAATTTTTAAAATAAATCCCTCAGAGTAGACCTATTGAAACTAGTCATATCCATTAAATTCAACGGGTCTACTCACACTGGAACTTTGTTGGCTATAACACAAAGATGTTAAGACCAACCGATATGTTGACAACCACTGTCAAGAGGTGCTGCATGGCCACTTCATGTTACGTGTAACTCATTTCCTCCCTTTCTCCTCATATTACGTCTTTATAGAAAGTTTTTAGCACATTCTTGTGATGATTATGCTGTAAATCTGATTCCCATGAAGCCCACAGATGATTCCCATTTACTAAAGCAGGATTCTTTCTTGTATCACTCAAATCCCTTTGGAAATGTTTACCTCATGTCTGAAGGCATCAGCATTCATGCATCCCAAGAGCCTGGCCATACCCACAGAAGGAGGCAGCAGCAGCAGCAGCAGCAGCAATACACAATAAAAAGCTGAGAGCTCTAGGCGGCATTGGCTGCAACAGCCATTACCATTGCCAAGAGCTCTGCCACAGGAAATATGGACCATCTGGCTTCAAAACTGGGCACTGTAACAATTGTGGCAGGAATGAGTAAGCACTTGAAACTGCTAGAGCTGCTGGGTACAGAGGTGTCCCAAAGGTTTCCTACATCTCTGACATCCCAGTGCTGTTTTATTTTTTATATTTATAGCTTGTACAAACTGGTATTCTATGCATTCTATTCATAAAACCTTTCAAAAGAAATACAAAAAAATCTCTGTGTATTCATTTCACTAGGTCAATATCTCTGCTTTTTATAGTTTCTAGTAGTTAAGTTGGGCGAAATGAAGAAAAAAGGGCCATGTTGACACTTCACAACTGACAAAAACAAGTTGTAAAAATACTAGATTCAGGTAGGTAGGCGTGTTGGTCTGAAGCAGTCGAAACATATATATGTATGTCCAGTAGCACCTTAGATACCAACTAAGTTTGTTCTTGGTATAAGCTTTCATGTGCATGCACACTTCTTCAGATATCTGAAACTGCTCCACCTACTTTTGCCTTTAACCATGTCTGCCTCTGGTTCCTGAAAGGTTCTCCATGAGGGAATGGGTCCCTCAAGCTGAAAAAGGTCCCCAATCCCAGCCTAACACAACAGAATCCTTTGCCAGTAACGAATTGGTTAATCTGTCAGAAAATAACAAGAAAACACAAGAAGGCTGTCCCAGTTTTCTTGAAGAAATAAATGCATATCACATAGCTCTCCTGTGCATAAACATCTGGGCACTTATCATGTCTTATGTGTTTAATGTATTGCTACATAAAACATCTCAGTGCAAATCATAACCGACCTCAGCTCCCAAACGGATGACTTAAAACTACATGATCTTTGTTTTAATCTATCTTGTCTATCACAATCAAGAAGGATTAAACCTTTTTTGGTCCAAGGGCTGCATTTCCTTTTGAAAACCTTCCAGGAGCCTCTTACCAATGGTGGGCACTGGAAAGCAAAAAAGGGGGTGGATGAATGGATAGGGTCTTTCCTTTGTAAAGTAGGCCCTGCAAAGGTCAGAGATGTCAACACACATACCCCTTTCATCCAGGTCAGGGTCAGCAAGGTTTACCTTGCCTGGGCCAGTAAGGTTTACCTTGCCTGGGCTGGTTCACTCCCTCAGAGGTCACTCCATGGGCTGGATCGCATCTGCGCAGATGCAATTTTTGGCATCTTCTTGCCTCTGCGCAGACGTGATTTTCGGCACCGCAGAAGCGAGTCCCCACTCCGCGCTGTACCGGTTTAGC